GATACTGAGCAACATGTACTGGCATTACGAATAACATAAGAGCTCAACTTAACCGATCAATTTGGCATTCGAGTGTTTAGACTCAGTGAACCATCTCGCTTATGCAAAGAGAAGACTCGGTTTGGTTTGACGCCATTGTGAATTAGAATACAACCTCATCCAAATACCTGAAAAGCTTTGTATGACAATAACCTTATTGGCCAGGGCTGCCGGGGACCGAGCTACGATCAGCTATACTCCGAGATCGCTAACCGGTAGATTGACTCGTTAGGCGGTTAGTTGGTACCAAATCATGGAGATATGATAGGCGGCATCGATGACAGAAGTTATTTTTTGCATCAATACTTGATAGATAAGCTAATTATGATTTTTTGGAACAAAAACTTTATTACTCTCAACAATGTGATTCCATATCTAGCTATATCTGTGCGCTCTACTTCTTTAAGATTGCATAAGTAATCTGATCTGTTTTGGAAAGTCAGGTTATGCGAAACCAATGGCTAACAGGTTATTCATTAGACATGAAAGCCATATTGGCTTACTATAAGACTAATGCGAGCTTAAAAAACATAATACCTACACTGCATTCAATGGTTACTACTACTTGGATAATCAAAAAGCACTAGTATTTTACTCAAAAGTGGCTTCTATTTTTTCACATTATCCTTTCGTTGTCTAGACTTGGTTTATATGAAATGTATTCACCCTATTTCGTTTAAGGTGATAAAGGGCTGGTAGTTGAATTTTCCCACAATTATATGAGTAGACCTTACGCTTCCATTGAATTTCACATTGCCTTGTTTACCAAATTGTATTCTTATCAAGGCTGGAGAGGAATGCAGTTTCAACTTGCCTAAGTCTCATCAACAACCCCCAGCAGGACTCGAACTATGAGAGTTTAGAGTTTAATCTCGACATGTTATACACTGCGCCACTTTGAAAAGCATGCCCTTGGGTTACAGGTCAGGTGTGAATTCTAAAAATGGCTAGGCATTTTCCCATATCATATTCGTTGATGGGATTGTCGGTGAAGCAAAGTTATATTTGCTATGACAATCTACTACATTACTTATTATTCGTTCATAAGTAGGATTTAGCGACTACCAGTAAATCATCACTTTAAACAAAATAAGGTGAATACATCTCATATAATTGATTTACGTGTAGCCTCGAGACCCCTCTCATGAAAGAAAAATAAATAATCTGGCCGATTGGCATTAAAAAAATATAATTTTGCTTTATTGGTAATCCCGCCAAAGAATACAATATAAAAAAAGGTTTGAGCATCCTTGAAATTAACATCTTCCCTGTGACCCGAGGGCACTTGGGGTAATGTGGCACAATGGTTAACTTGTCGAGATTACACGCCAAACTGTCATGGTTCGACTCCCGCTGAGGATGTTGATAAGACTTATGTGAGGTCAAAAGTGCAGTCCATCTTGGATGAGAACACCTTTTGGGAAAGCAAGGCGATGTGAAATTCAATGGAAGCGTCAGCTCTACTTATATCATTGTGGGAAAATAATATTACCAGTCCTTCATCACCCTAAACTAAATAGGGTGAATACATATAAATAGCAAGACTCACTGATAATGCCGACAGCGATGCCGGTGAAAAGCCAGCGTCTGTGCCAAGTCCACTGTCCATAATGAGTGTTATCATGACTATTATGGCATAGAACGCCTATAAATGCAATGCAGTTGCGAAAACGAAATCAGACTAATATAAATAATTATTAGCCATTCTGGAAAGGAGCATCGTAATTCTTACCTCTTTGGCCGAGTAAAAATAGAGAAGGTCAGAAATAAATTTATATCAGATACTTTCTCACAGTTGGTTGAGAGAACACATTAGTTATCAAATAATAATGACCCTTTTTAAAATGTTCTGTTTATAGCTAGGTTTTCGGGACTACCGGTGGATCATATATTAGAGATGTATTACGTTAATGTAAAGAAGTCCTAGAAGTTGAATTTTCCAATAATGATATGAGTAGGCCTTACATTTCTTTGAATTTCACATAGCCCTGCTTTCCAAAAAGGTATTCTCATCCTGGCTGAAGTTGATTGTAATTTCGACCTCGCCTACGTTTCATCAACACCCACAGCACCATAGCAAAAATACGTTTGCTTAATTGACAATCCAACCAAATAATGTGATATGGGAAAAGTCCTGGCCTTCCTTGAAATTCACATCTGCCCCGTGTCTGAAGGGCACTCGTGGCAATATGACCAAGTGGTTAACGTGTCAAGCTCACATTCTGCACTGTCACGGTTCGACTCTCGCTGGGGGTGTTGATATGACCTATGCGAGGTTGAGACTGCAGTTCACTCTGGATGAGAACAACTTTTGGGAAAGCAAGGATATGTGAAATTCAATGGAAACATCAGCTCTACTCATATTATTGTGGGAATATTCTACCATCAGTCCTTCATCACCCTAAACAAAATAGGGTGAATAAATCTTACAGATACTAAGAGGCTAATCAGATTTTCACCGTAGTTCCTTAGATTCATCGAAGACTTGCTTAATAATGTAGGAAAAGCATCAACTCATTGATTCACAGAACGGGCAGATGTTCCAACGGGTATTTTGTATTTGCTATTATACTCGACTACATTATTTATTTTCATTTTTATGTAGAGTTCCGACATTACCAGCAGATCTCTATTTCACTTAACGCGATCAAGGATAGGTAATTGAATCTTACGACAACAATATGTGTAGGCCTTATGTGCCCCCTTGCATCCCAAAATATATTTTCTTCCAATCTGGAGTGGGCTGCAATTTCGACCTCGCCTTGGTCGTTTCAACACCCCCAGCGCGACTATAATATAAGTCTTATGATATGTTTTTCCACTATTTCGTTTAAGGTGATGAAGGACTGGTAGAAGAATTTTCCTACCATTATATGAATAGAGCTGACTTTTTCATTAAATTTCGCATTGCCTTATCTCTTCCAGGGTGGACAGCAGTTTCGACCTCGCATAGGTCTTATCAACACCCCCAGCGGGAGTCGAACGGTGACAATGCACCTGATTTACTGGTAATCTCGAAACTCTACCTTCATACGAAATATAATACGAGTCTCAAAAACCCATTGATAAACCGAAATTGTTCAAGTATTATGGTTATGATTATCTTCTTTTATTACTCAGAGCTAGTTTATGTACGATGGATTGAATAAGATCATTGATTTATGTAGTTTCATTCTTTCATGCAACTTAACAGGACGTTTTCCCGACACTGTTGTCAATCGACACGAGTAGATAATTATTGAGGGAAATTAGTTACCTTTGTCACCAGATTTACGCCTGTCAGTCACTTGATCACAGGAGGGGGGTAAAGTACTTCTTTACGCAAATTATTGCATTTAGCAGACTACAGGCAATGATAGTAAGGAAATGGACGCTTGGCAACAGCTGCATTGGTATCACTTAGCTGCGAGCATGTAGATGAAAGCATTAAATAGCCAAACGCATTTTGGAGGTCCTCATTAAGATGGAAAACTCAGGTTATAGGTAAGGATGCTTGCAGACATACATAATTGTGTGAAATACTGTTGGGGTATGCTTGCTTGCTCTGGCAATGTCTGCCAAAGCTGAACAGATTTTTCAGAGTCAAAACAACCGTCTCAATTATATGGCATTTTGAGGAGATTATCTTTAGAACATTTTCACCTAAAAAGTGGTCTGTCTTCATTTTCGATACTTGGTCGTGTTGTCAGGGCGACTTAGTTGGACGCACATTGTCCGAAGTCCTTTGCTATAGTAGTTATCGTAATTTCCAGCTTCGGACTGTGGACTTGATGCATCATTCCCAGACGTTTCGTCGTCATCGTCATTAAGTCTTGCCATTCTCAGCGCCATCTTGGTCTTCATATCTATTTTTAATCTTATTTCTTATAGTAAATGATGGGTATGCAACAAAGTGTTCAATGTCTCGGCAATGAAAGGAAGGATAGTGTTTGATATATGTTCATACTATTTTGATTAGGGTGATAAGGGTTTTGTTAGTTGAATTTCTCCACAATGATATCAGTACACATGACGTTTCCATTGAATTTTGCGTGACCTTGCTTTCCTTAAAGGTATTCTCATCCAGGCTGGACTTTAGTTTCGACCTCGCATAGGTCTTATTTAAAACGCCCAGCAGGACTCGAACCATGGCATTGCAGCGCATGAGCGCGTCACGTTAACCACTAAGCCACAATTTCACAAATTCTCTTGGGTCACAGGATAGATGGGAATTCCAAGGAAAGACAGGCATTTTCCCATCTCACATTTTGTGGTCGGATTGTCGATGAAGCAAAGTTTTATTTGCTATTTCAATTGACTATGTTACTTATTTATCGTTTTATAAGTTTGCTTTTAAAACTGGCGTAGTTCATGCGCTGCGGTGTTATGCTTCGAGTTTCTCTGAGGGTGTTTATGAGATAGAAACTGTAGTCCACCCTGGATGAGAATACCTTCTATGAAAGCAAGGCTATGTGAAATTCGATGGAAACGTCATGTCTACCTCCAGTCCCCTAATCAACCTAAACGAAATAAGATAAATACATCCCATATATATGATCTAATGGTAGTCTCTAAAGCATACTTATAAAACAAAAAAAGGAGGTAGATTGTTTTCGAGGTGAGAATATATCAGAAAGATCCGAAATTATTGAATCGAAATGATCCATCTAATTTGAATTAAGAGTATTTAAGTAACGATAATAGGTTTCTCTCCTGCAATGATTTGATTTAATTCGAATTCAATAGATTAGCTAGCTGACGATGACTTCGAGCAGTTTTGCAAATCCTAATTTCTGTTGAAATGTCACCCTCGGACCCCTTGGGTTGACTACATCCGTCTCTAAGCCATGACAGTCCTGCATCGGACGCGTGAGCCTGTAGCATGCAGATCAGGGTGTGATGAGAATTACACCTGCCGAGCTGCTAGCCGGACATGAAATCGCAGGGATTCGTGGCCGGCCAGTTTAGACTTCACGGCTTTGATGCTCCATCCGACTCTTTTGTTGTGCTCTGCACTTCAGACTACTTCTGGAGGAGAAACCGGCCAGGGGGCTGAAGTCGGGCTTTCTTGTGCAACCGGGGCAGTTGAAAGGGTCTGCAGTTGGGGCAGAGGCGCTAAAATTAGCATATAATGACGCTTGAAAAGTCTCTCGTCCCCGCCCACTTGCCCGACTGGCGGACGGACTAGTCGGCTCTTCCTGCCCAATGGACCGGGTCGACCTAATCCTGTTTTAATGAAGTCAGCTCGGCCTCGTCAACTGCTCGGTTGGCCGCTGGACACTCGAGCGGGTGGGACCGGACCCGCATAGACCCGTGGATAATGACGACTTGCGCTGGTCTCGCCCCGGACAGGGGATTGTGGCAGAGCAATCGAGCAACGTACGTGAGCTAAGATTTACATACGTCCAGTTCATCGTGGCATGATGGGAAAAGGATTATTTTGAAATATCTTGCGTGCTGCAGTAGAGAGCATATCACCAATAAGGTGGCAGAGGCTAATGCCATATAATAGTAGAATGGATGCTTTACAAATACAGTATTTACAATTCTTCAAAGTCGACAGGATTTCGGTCCTCCACCCCCGAAATTGTTCAACTCATTCAGATAAAATGCAATCTTGCTTACAAAAATCAAGAGGCTACTACTCTGCTTGAATTTAGCTCGGATGATGCTGAGCTGAAAAGCATTGCATGA